AGAAACATACCAAGGGAACATGAATCAAATATGCACCTTCATTCATTTACAATAAACTCATAAAAGTACATCATTCTGATTGAAGCTAAGGGCATACAAAACTGTCTAACACTTTGGATATTACTTTTACAACCACTAGCAATTTGCATGGTTCAACTATTAATTAGATAGTTAATAGTTTCCATTTTTATGTCATGGTAGGAAAAAATTCTCTTCCAAAAAAGTTGATTAGCACTCGTTATAGAAGGGGAGGCAAGAGATTTAATAATATTCATATTTATCCTCTCCCCCACTTTTCATCTATATCTATCTAACAAAATTTTGAATTTAAAAAATTAAAGAATTATTTACATATTATAATGAAATTATGTAATAACTTTAAAATATAAAAAAAAATTATAATAGATTTAATAATATTCATACTATTAATAATTTTATATTTTTATGAAATTCATAATGAAATTATGTAATAATAATATAAATTATAACTTTACGGATTATTCAATGTAATAACTAGATAATATTTTCAAAATTTAAATAAAAAATTATTTAAATGTTACTCAAATAATAAAAATTAAAAAATTAAAAAATAGAATTTTATTTAAATATTTCAATAACTAGATAATTATATAACAAAATAATTAATATAATGTAATAGCTTTAAAATAAATAAAAATTTAAATATTTTACATATTATTTAAATATTTAAATAAATAAGTATTTTAAATAAAAAATATTTAACAAGCTAATTTTTAATAGTTAAAATAACAAAATTATGTAATATATTTAAAAAAATTCTTAAAAGTAGAAATAATGATATTATTTAAATAATATTTCAAAACTTTAAATAATGATATTATTTAAATAATATTGTAATAACTAAATTTTAAATATTTTAAATATCAAAAAATTAAATAACTAACTCATATTTTAAATATTATTTAAAACAACCAAAATAGATTAAATAACAAAATTTTGTAATAACTTTATTAAATTTATCAAAAATGCAAAAACGTTTACAATAAATTTAATAATATTTGATAATAAGAATATAAAATATAAATAATTTAAAAAATATATATTCTAGATATTATATACATATTATAGAATTTATATATACATATATATATAATAGTTTGATTAATTTGGTTTTTGGTTAACCAAATTCACGAACCTGAAAATCAAAACCAAAATTTTCAGTTTGGTTTTTGGCTTTAACAGAATAATATTCACCCCTAGCAGCCGTATTCTAGTTTGGTCTATTTGATGTTCATTGAGGTCTGGGTTTGGTTCTCTTCGGAAATTTGAATAACTAAAAGGATAAAAAGTGTTTTATGGCATAAGGTATATTTAAGTCTATCTGATAAACTCAAGATCTATATGTTTATTCAATTTATGAAATCTCAGGATATATTCAAATCTTTTATTATCTTGTCAAAGTCCTTTGGATTAGAATGTTTTTTAATTAGTCTTTGAATACAAATTCAATTTTTGCTATGCATAAAAAAATCAAATATTCAGTGCCATTGTCATTTTATAACTCTATATGTTAACAATTTATATACAATTTATATAGTTATAATAGTTATTATTGAAACTCTCCTTCAATTTTCTAGCATTTTCTAAAACTTATCATGTCTTTTCAATATATCACCTTCATTTATAATATAGTCAGTGACCATAACATAACTGGGTCACATATGTCAATTTTATCTTTTTTTTAACGATAAAACTAACCTTGACCAACCAGTCTATCTTGTTAACTACTTCTTGTAGGACAAAAATGCCCTTATGATTTTTACCCCTAATTTCATTGCCTATTTCATGTTCAATCATGAATCATCTCGTAATCCACTACCAAGGATTTCATTGGCCCAATAGTTCAGTTTGAGTGAATTGACAAGCCTATTTTTGGAATTTTGGTTCAAAGAGGGTATGGAGGTATTAAAAAATTGGGATAAGTTTAAGAGAAACTCAGAAAATTTGGCATTGGTTGTTTATTAATTGCCCATTTGGAGGACTGAGCTGAACATTCAGCTAAGCTGGTTCAACTGCTTTGAGATAAATTATTTAAAGAAGCAGAGACGAACAGCCCAAAAAATGACTGACCGGCAGCCCATTTGGGCTCTTGGGATTTTTCCACCTTTCCAAACACATTGACAATTCTCGGTTGCTTCTTCCATCGCCATACAAATTTAATTCTGTCTCGGTAGCAGTCTGCAGTCTAGCAGAGGACTTGTGAAGGGGGGGCCTATCACCTCAAAGCAATCTGTTCCCTGAGCATGAGACATTCATCTTTGGGTCGGTTGGCCGTTGGCCCATTGGATCTAATAAAGCTACATTAAGAGATAGTCCAATCCACCATGCCCCAGGTGGGCTTCTACTTCATCAGAGATTTCCCCTTTTATTTACCCAATAATGATGTTCTGAAATGTTCATTAATCATAATATTTGCTCACGGCTTTTTCCTTGGTTTCATATTCTCTTAATAAAGACATATGTCAGTGACATGCTCAACATTAGTTATTGAATTAGTGGACATATGATATAACAACTATTTAGAAGACCAACTTCATCCTAAAAATAAGATTAGAGTAACTTTCGGTAAATAGACAACCAATTTTAAATTGTCGTCACTTAGCAAATGCATTTACGTTGAACCATCCCCTCCCCTACACCAAGAGAGAAATTTCCTGGACCCCATCCAAATGGACATCAAAGTAATAAAATAGAGAGTAAAACTTAACTATTAACGAAACAATGAGCGTCTATCAAATTCAAACGCTATCAATCCGGTGGGGGCCCATCTCTGAACTCTGATACAAACCAGGCGTGTATAATGGGCATGTGTGGCCCACACCTTATAGCGTGTTCACTCTTTGATTCATTGGTTTACTAATAAATACTTCATCCCATTTCAGTGTTTCACCTCTTTCTTCCTTATGCTCAGCCCTCGTAAGTCGTAACTCGTTCTGTTGTAGGGCTGGTATGGTAAACATTGGTCCGACCCGCTAAGGCGCCAACAAACCCCAATATGCTCCACTTCTTTATTCGCGTACTCTCTATGGATTCATGACTTTATATTTTACAATTTCAGCAAAACACAGCTAGTGTCTTGGGTTTGGGATGCAGTTGTTTATTGCAGTTTGAGTCTCTATAATACGCTTAAATGAAGATTAAAGAAAACCAGGAAGTAGGGTATGGAAAAGGACTGGATCCGGGGATGGCCCATTTTGTGTTTTCCCCCATAACAAGTTAACAACCCCTGCTTGGCGTATCCAAGTATCCAGCTTAAACCCGCAAAGATAATACTAAGAGATGCGGGTTCGAACCGTGGATGATGGATCCAAATAACTATATTATCTTTAATAAATCACAGATAAATTTTCTAACTAGAGTCTAGTCTTAGAGTAAAAAATTAAGATTCAGATTGAAAAGTCGAAGCCAGACAAGCAACTGAATGAATTGCCTATATTCTTTTTCTGAACGTGTATCGATCAGATTCGATCTCTACGGCGTAGTCAAAAATGTCTCTCCAGAGTCTGAAGACAGTCGGATATGCCCCTTCAGCTATGCCTTTTTCGCTTGTCTCCATGACCATAATCTTCCTCTGTAGGCCCAACGATGCACAACCCCTCGATTTCTTTTGCTCAGAAAACACTACTGTATACACTTCAAATAGCACTTTCGCAGCTAACCTCAAACTTGTTCTCATCTCTCTATCATCTAACACTTCGGCCTCAGGTGGGTTTTATAACACCTCCGTAATCTCCAATTCCGACCAAGTCTACGGGCTTGCACTTTGCAGAGGCGATGTCGCCGCTGATGTTTGTCAGAACTGCATCAATACTGCAAGTCAAGAGATCCTGCAAGAGTGCCGAAACAAGCAAGAAGCAATTATATGGTACGAGTTTTGTCTACTACGCTACTCCTACTGGAAATTCTTCTCTACGATGGTGTATGCCGGAAAGTTTCCCAAGTGGAATGAAAGGGAGCAGAATGTAACGAACCCAGATGAGTACCCTATTATCTGGGATAATTTGATGAGAAACCTCATTACCCAGACAGCATATAGTAAGCTTATGTTCGCTACCGGAGAGGCCAGTGTTTCAAATACAGAGAAGACATATGGTCTGATGCAGTGCACAAGGGACCTAAATAGGGGCGAATGCGCAAATTGCCTAAGAAATGAAATGGGAGAATTTCAAACAGGTTCCCTTTCTCGTACTGGGGGAATGGTTCTCGACACGAGTTGTAATTTGAGGTACGAACCATACCTCTTCTATAATGGTTCAAGTGCTTCCCCAACTGCGAACGGTAAGTACTTCACGTCTCTCCTGCTCTAATCCACTCCAAACAAAACATAGAAATGAGTTGAAAAATCTAAATTTAAATGTTTTGTGATGGTTTTAGAACTGGGCCAAAAAGTCTCTCAGTCTTGGTCGATCTTTAATCCAGATATGAGTTTTGCTCAAATCCTACTGCTTTTGCATGGGTATGTAAAACAAGTTGAAAACCACATCTGTCGTTGGTCATCACAATCGATATTGTGCTCTGTTTCTCTGAGTATGCACAACAGGCAGAACTGACTTCTCCTCTTGTGTTCTCTGTTTCAGTTAAGCAAAACAGGGCAATTGACAATACTACTTACCAAGTCGTCCTCAGTTTCGATTGGAAAATTTTTCGTTCTTTCAATACACGCTTTTGTTGACTTCAAATACACACTATTGATGCACATTAAATTAAATATGATTATGGAGGATTGATTGTATATATAGAAATTTTATTTGAAATCGTCGAATGGAATTTGGCTTAGGCCTCTAAAAAACTAAATTTGTAAAAGGTAAAAACTGTTCATCTCTTTAAAGGTATGGTATGAAAGTAGGGATGGCTATTTTTTCCCATCCCCATCGGACCTGACTTCCCTGACCCGGTGGGGTTGGGGATGGGAATTGTTTTGAAGGAATGGGGGCGGAGATTGAAATTAATAGGAATCCTTGATCGGAGTTGGGGGTGGAGATTGAGATCTCTGCCCCACTCCAACCTCAATTATATAAATATATATATATATATATTAAATGTTATTTATATTTAATATATATTATTATATTATATATTATATATATCAAAGTATATTTAAAATATTATTTATAATTTAATATTTTTATTTATTTTAAATAAATTTATTTTTTAAAAATACTGTTATCTAAAAAAATATCGGGGGTCGAGAATGGAAGACAATTTATCCCCAACGAGGATCGGGGACGGGGATGGAGTTAATTTTAGTCCCGCCCTATTGTCATTCCTACATGAAAGACAAAAGGGTCTTTATAGGTTTTGAAAATTGAGGATAAGTTTAAGGGAAAAAGAGAAAGCGAAAGGGAGTCTCAGATAATAACCCTCCAATTTTTTCCATAAATTAACCTTCAATTGAATAGGTGTCCATCACTTGAACGCTTTGAAGAATGGTATCCTATATTAAAGAAGGAAGTTATATTCAGTTTTTATTATATAGAACTAGCAAGTAGCACAGAAATTTGATTAATTGAAAATTTTGGGTTATACATCAATTTCAGCCAGTCAGGGTTGGTGTTGGATTGGCCCTTATTCCAAAGAGGGTTAAAAGGGATTTAAGAGGAAAGAAGGGATTTTAAAATGGATAGGGTAAAAGACTTGAACCTCCTTCAGGTTTGTCATAAACACTTATACTGCCTCTCTAATTTTTAATAGGACTTAAACCTCCCCTATCTAAATATGATGCTGTTATATTTGACATAATGATCGTTGACCTCTCTAATTATTATCCTTCAAATTTTCAAAGAGAACCAGACCAGCTTTCATCATTTTGAAGCAAGAATGATCGTTGTAGCTTGACTCAACCTTTATACAATCACTTCAAAGGCTGCTCACAAGAGTTGATTCACAAAGTTTATATCATGAATACTTTAGGGTAATTTGATGTGAAATCAGCTATGCCTCCTGAAACCATGAAATCACGGTCTTCGGTAAATGGGAGGTTGTTAGAGAATGAAAATTTTAGAATTTTCTTGTGAAACCATTCAAAAGACTAAACTTGGACTACTTGGGTTAGAACAGCTATGGCAAAGCAACAGTGATAAAAGCATCTCTGAAACTAAATCTGTTTTAGTATTTTTCCAAAGGGGCATTCTTTTCTTTTTGGATTTTGAGAAGGGGGAGATTTGGTCAATAGGATTTTGGTTTCCATTGACCAAGAATTTCATGTTCATTTTTCAGATTACCGTGGTAACTAGGAAAAATTTATTTTCCTATGTATCATCTCCTAGGTGGGCTAATAACTTGAATGAGACAAAAAATGTTACTTTTAATAATAGATTTTTATGACTAAAATAATCATTACCTTATTTACCAAGATAATTGCATTTACTTACCGAAAAACGAAAGGGGCCTCAATGGTTTAATTTCTAAAACCCTGAAATCTTAACTTCAAAGTCAATCATTGTAGAAGGAGCAAACTCATCATTATAGAACAATTACAAATTAAAACACAAGGCTCAATTTGGAAGGAGTACAAATACAAATTTGTAGAGTGGAAATCCTTGTATTTTGTATGTATTTGCACAGTATATATTTATACTTGTACTTCTTCCAAAATGAGCCCAAGCTCCTTATTATTTGTTTGTAATGCATGCATTGACTCATTGATGTCAAGTTCTACAAGAACTTGTGTCCGTAAAATTTTAATTGAACATTTATCCAGGAAAGGATTCTCATTTTCTATGAAACTCAAATCTGGATAAAATAAAAATAAAAGTACTAAATCACGACTCCATATAATGGGTGCATTCTCTCTCTCTCTTCCTGCCTTCTTTTCCTCCATCTCCATAATTTTTGTTTTTTTCTTCTGAGAAGGACAATATTGGGTTTTTGAAAAAATTTAATAAAATTTAAATGCACGTGAGCTCACATGCAACCAGCCAACCAATTCTTAACCAATAAGTAACAGAAGGGAGGTATTTGTCGTATGATATCACCCAACAGGGGAGGTGTTAGTATTTAGCATTAGTATTTAGCATAAACCTCAAGGGAGGTTTAAGTATTTTGCCCAAATTAATACCAGTTGATTGGTTACAAAATTTCCAGGTATTATGGTGGAACCCATTTAAAATATATTTTCTTTTACTAGTGGGGAAATTTACCATCTTAAATATAGTGGCTCAAGTAGGGTTAGATTTGGATTGGATATGATCCAATCCAGTTAAGGATCCAATAATTTCAATCGAAATTCAAATTACGGAAGTCCAATCCAACTCAAATTAATGTATTGCCAATATTAATGCATTTTTTTTGGTAGATAACATTTGTCTTTTTGTACTTGTAGATAACATTTTTTTGGTAGATAACTCAACCCAAGTTGCAGTCCTGCCCCCCACCCCACCTCTCGAATTTGTAGATTCTAGCAGTTTGCTAGAATGAAATCAATATCAAAATGATGAAAATAACCATTCTAAAGCACAATACGGTGTTATGAACTAAGGTATTCTCAAGATGAACTTTCTTCCAAGAAAGTTCAGAGGAACATATAAGAGTTAGGATTTTAGAAAAACTAGGTCAAAAGCGCGGAATGGTCTCATAAATCATAATATAACTTAAAGGGTATTTTTAGAAATGTTTAACAATATTGTAAATAAAATTTAGTTTTAGTGGGATCCACCAGCACAAACTTAACATTTGAGTATGATTTGTATTAATTGCGTGTCAGTTTGAAACAGTTGAGTATGTGTTGATAATGGTGGAGTATGGTTTTTGATGGTCAAGTATGAGTTTGTAACAATTTGTACTCCTTGAGTATCGGTTTGTAGTTAAGTACAGATTTGTGACATTTTGTAACAATGAGTATGAATTTGTATCTGTTGAATATGGGTTCATAGCTTCATAACAATTTGTAATAATATTGAATATCAGCTCATGATAGTTGGTACATTGAATACTGGTTTGTGGCAATTGCATACAGTTAACCGGTACAGACTGATGCTAAAACAACACACAGCAATATTAAATAATATGGTTATGTTACGTTTATGGCTTGAATTCTTTGTGGTGACTTTCTTCGTAAATTCATTTTGAATTAATTTGAGAAAAAATTCAAAGACAAATTTTTATAATGGTTTGTAGTGGATGCGTAGGACCAAGTTCGTAGCCCACCACAAATCACCATTGGGAGTGCGGGGGGCACAGCCCCCACGCTGGTATGGATCCAAACAATATTCATTTTATAGGTCCGAACCAAATACGAAGAGTTATGTATTCTCAAGGGTTTTTTCTATTGTTTTAAAGGTCTTATCTTATGAGAGATGAATGAGACATTGGGTTCTATTTGGGGTTTAGGATTTTTTCTGTGAGGGCACAACTCTGTATTTCTTCTCCATTACCAACTTCATAGTGGATTTCTGTTCCTCCTTCCCTCGTGGATGTAAGTTATATGTAAGTTATAAGCCAAACCCCATAAATCTGTCTGTATTCTCTGCGCTTGTTTCTCTTTTTTCTACTTTTACTTTCAATTATTTTCCTGGGTTTTCCGCAACAAGTTAATAAACCATACATGTCCATCGCAAACTGTTTAGTAGGAGTTGCATTAAACCTGTTTAGTAGATATACCATACAAGTCCATCACATGTTGGTTAGAGAGTTTAGATAACAAAAAGATTAACTTGTTTCCCCATCCAATGGGTGATAAACATGTAGGAGGTAACTTTAAGGAATTGTTATCTATTGTAACAAAGTGTGACTATTGGACATACTACCTAGAAGTCTAAATGTAGATACTTGAAGGTGGTTTACAAAGGTGAGTTGGGTTGTTTGGGGATTGCTTGGATGTTTGACAAGCAAAGCTAACTTCATGGAGTAAGTTGTAGCCTGTAGAATTATCAGCTCTCGCCTTTCTATTTTACCAAGTCTTGTAATGTCACCAAAGTTCTAACAATAAAATTGTCACCACTATTTGCTTAATCCTCTTATTCTTATAACTTTAGTCATATTAGGTTGCATATATAGATGGTTTAATAATCTTAGCATATACTGCCTTGAACTGTAATGTTGAATTATATATGATCAGTAGAACTTCTTTCTAACATTTATCTTTCACTAAATTTTGTATTCAAAATAGAATTATAGTGAATGCATATGATTTATGTCAATTGATATGCCTAAATTCGTTGGGAGCAGGGAGTGGAAGGAAGACATGGATGATTGCAATATTTATCAGTGTACCAATATTTGTACTGGTAGTTCTCGGTTGCTTATATGCTTATTACTTAACAGGAGAAGAAGAGAAGAGAAACGCCAATAAGTAGGTAAATATTACGAGAAAACTTCAACATTACTAGCAATTACATAGTCACCTATTCTGCAGATGAGCAAAGGGTCCAAAATATTCCATTTGGAACTCCTGATTTCCCAGAAAAAAATATACAAGATGGAAATCAAATGAACTCTTCAGAACTGCCCCTAATGGATTTTGATGCTATAAAAGTAGCTACAGACAACTTTTCAGATTCGAATAAGCTTGGACAAGGTGGGTTTGGCACTGTGTACAAGGTAATAACACATTTAAAGTGCTGAACACTTATAACAGTACTAATACCCTTGATGATCTCCGCTTCTTTTTATTTTTATTTATTTTCCCTTCAATTAAAAAGAATTTCATTGTTTCAGGGCATGTTACCAAATGGAAAAGAAGTAGCTGTGAAAAGGCTATCGAGAAAATCATGGCAAGGTGTAGAAGAATTCAAGAATGAGATAATACTAATCGCAAAACTTCAACATAGGAATCTTGTAAGGCTTTTGGGTTGTGGCATCCAGGGAGATGAGAAACTACTGGTTTATGACTTCATGCCTAACATTAGCCTTGATTCCTTTATCTTTGGTGTGTTCCCTTTCATCCTTTGCTTTGTTTTTCTCATTAATTAGTTTACCTTTACCACTACTACATAAAACAATAAACTTGAAAGCATTTTCTTARTTTCAGATCCAATACGACGCTCCCAACTTGACTGGCGAACATACTTTAGTATTATTGGTGGGATTGCACGGGGTCTTCTTTACCTTCATGAAGACTCTCGACTCAAAATCATTCACAGAGATCTCAAGCCTAGCAATGTATTGTTGGACCACGACATGACCGCAAAGATCTCAGACTTTGGGATGGCCAGGATCTTTTGTGAAAATCAAAATGCRGCTAATACTAGAAGAGTTGTTGGGACATAGTAAGTTTGTACATTTTTTTTCATTACTCGATGATTTGTTTTTCCTCAGATGCATGAATTGAAAGAGACTTCAAGCAGACCCATCCCCATTTCTATATTTTGTCCCATTTTCATTTTGTGGTCTGACAACACAACCCCAACCCACAAAGCAGAGCCCACCCCAGTCCATTTAACAGAAAATCAGAAATGAACAATCACATTTGGTGGGTTGGTTTGGACTCTGGAAGGTGGGAGAGTAAGGTCTGAGCCCAAATCCCACACTCATAAAAACCAGCAGTTAAATCGAACAAATATTTGGGGTGGCAACCCAAATTTCTTAATTTTTTAATTCCAAGGAACACCCTGACCATGACCACTGCAATCCATGTAGATAAATGAATGATAGGTACACTGAGAATCGACCAAACTGGGGAGATTGGTCATATTTTCAAGTTATTGCTTTTCTTCTTTTACGACTGAGGTTGATATTTGATACTCTCACAACCATCTCTAATTTCAATTACTCATATCTGGTTTTGAAACTTCCAATAAATGATAAACAGTGGATACATGGCTCCAGAGTATGCAATGGAGGGGTTATTTTCGGTGAAATCGGATGTTTTCAGCTTTGGTGTTATATTGCTTGAGATTATAAGTGGGAAAAGAAACAGTGGCTTCTACCGTACAGAGCATGCGCAAACCCTTCTTGCTTTCGTAAGTCTCTTTACTTGCTTAATTTTTAATTGGAGTACATGAAGATATAGATGGATATCATCATCAACAATCTAATTATTGACAATCGATGGAAAAAAAAATGTGAAATGGCAGGCATGGAGACTATGGATTGAGGGGAAATGCTTGGAATTTGCAGATGCAGTAATGTTAATGGATACAAATACAAGGTGGAAGGCAGAGGTGATGAGATGCATCCACATTGGGCTTTTGTGTGTTCAAGAAGATGCAGCTGATAGGCCCACCATGTCATCTGTAACTCTTATGTTAACAAATGAATCCGTACCTCTTCCTCAACCTATAAAACCAGCATTTGCCTTGTCAACACTCATTCTTCAACCAAATCACTCTTCTTCAGTCATTTGTTCTGTCAATATGGCCACTATTTCGGATATTTCACCACGTTGAAAGTTGAGATATTTCGAACTCCCAAAGCAAACACCCTAAATCGTTATCTATCGACTTTGACATGACCTACAGTAATTAATCTCCATCGTTTTTGTGATATTTTGACATTCTGCAATGAAATTTATAATTCTCCACTATAGTTCCAACTTTCCATTGATGCAATCTATAATAATTTTGTTATCTCCGAAAATTCCTTTGCCATTTGCTGAGCATATTTTGTAGTCCAAGCTTTCGTTGAAAGGAGGTAAAAGGGCCATGGGTAAACCGAAAAGGACATTGGTTGAATTTAAGAAAAAGATTGGGTAAATTATAAAGACCCCCTTGTATTATGGGGTCAGTGGCAAAGACCCCTGTACTTTTTTTTACAACAAAGACCCCTCTAAACTTTAACAGTTAGACAAAGACCTCTTCCATTAGCATTCCATCAATTAACTTTGAAAAAGATTATTGTCCAACTGCTTTAAATATTTTAAATACCCAAATTACCCTTTTCTTTAACTTATGAAATCACTTAACTTTTTATATACTTTGAATTTTTCATCTTTCCTCCCCTTTTCCCGTGTTCCTTCATGCCATGACAGACTCTCCATTTGATAGTAAGACTAATTTCTGGGTAAGCTAACCCACACCACAAGAGGCACATCACCCCCAAATTACAGGAGACCCTGAGAGCCCAAAATGACTACTCGAAAGCCAAAAGCATGGGTTTTCGTTGAAGCAGATGGTCCGTAGACAATCCAGAAAATGGCTGACCGTCTATTTGATTTGGGATCTCTAGATTTTTCACCATATCTAAGAGACTGTCCATATAGAACCCACCTCAGAAAGTTAAACATTATGGTTTCTCCAAAATAGCTCAACCAGTGCTTCAGGGCCCGTTTCAGTTGGTCATCATCGTCACCTCACCCATCGCTGATGGTTTTCAGCCAATAGTGAACAGGGGTGGAGAGGCTCTGTAACTGCTGCAACTACATCTTTTGCTTTAATTTTTTTTTTCTTTGTTTGGACATCAGAAACTATCGACTGCAGCCAAATATGTCATTTAGATATTTGTAGTAACATTAATATACTAATTGGTCTCAAATCAAATTAATAATTTTTCAAAGAAATCTGCCAAGTTTATTCATTGGGCTGGACTCCTGAAAAGAATTGAATTGTCATTGCATCACATGAATAGGAGGTTAATTGTGTGGAATGCTCTTACAAGCCAGAAAACTCATTCTATTAAGCTACCATGTGCATTTTCTCCAAATGATCAATCTATTGCATGTGGTAGTGTTGACAATGCCTGCTCTATCTTCAATCTTCAAGCTTCAACCTTCAATCTGAACTCTTCAGTTGACAAGGATGGGAATTTACCAATATTAATGATGTTAAGCGGGCATAAGGGTTATGTATCTTCATGACAGTATGTTCCAAATGTGTTTTTTGTGGGATGTTACCACAAGCCAGAGGCTTTCTGTGTTTGGAGGTGAATTTCCTTCAAGGCACACAGCTGATGTACTAAATATCATGTTCATGAATTCTGATTTGAAGAATCGTGAAAGACTTCAAAACAAAAATTGCAAATGCACAAATAACAAAGCTTATAACAAGTAGCAGATCTCCAACAAATTGTCTAGGCCCATTATTCGGTACAAACTACAAAGTTAATGAAAAACTGCTTATAAACCACTCTGCTAGCTTGTCTATTCTAGACTTACAAAGTCAACGAATCCATTAACATATTTGAATAAATTCCTTTGGACCAACCCAATTCAATTCACTAAAAGTAACAAGCTAATTAAGGAATCTGTCCAAATTTTATAAAGAATAAAAGTTGTGCAATAGCTACCGAACTGTAGCTACGGTCATAAAAACCGTAGCTAGAAGATCTCATGTCCGTAGCTATAAAATAAACTTTAGCTACGGACAGTTTGTTCGTGGCTAAAAGCTAATAGTCCGTGGCTAAAAAACACTTATAGCCACACTTTTTAGGTATTCGTAGCTATATGTTAGAAAATCATAAAATAACCTACCGCTACGATCATTTTGTTGGTGGCTAAAGATCTCTGTACCTATGGGTATAAATTATTTATAATTATAGCTACGGATTCTATTTATTCGTGGTTATAGCCATCAAGCTAATGACTAAAATTAAAGCTATTTATAATTATGAAAAAAATTCATATTTGCCAAAAGATATAATATTGAAAAGGCTTTGACCAATCAAAACCCTTGGTGAATTTTGATAAAAATCAATGTTTTAAAAAATGACCTAGAACTGGAATCGTTCTAGCCACCTATTTTCGGTTCAATGGTTCAACCATTCGGTTCGAACGAACAATCCATTTTGACAAAAAATTTCAAAAATAATCAAAAAATTAAAAAAGGCTAAAATCTTTGAACGGGTCAAATGGGTCAACGGTTTGATCACCTAGGTCAACGAGTCATTAATTGGTTCAACAGCTTTTGTCCATGGACTAGGTTTTGGGGTAAAGTGGAACTAGTTGCTTGGACAATTCCTCAACCAAGCAGTCCGACCATCTAGGTCGTACTATGACAGTTCAAAACAAGGTTTTAAAAACTGACTCGGAAATGGAACCATTCTGTCCATCAATTTCTGGTTTAGCAGTTCGACTGTCCGGGTCAAATAGTTCAAACGGTTTAAATATGATAAATGGTGATATGTCATCTTACCCATTAGATTGGAATATTAGGGTAAAATGCATATAAATAGAAGAGAAAAAGGGTTTCACTATTTGAGAATGAGAGATTGCCAATGGCTGAGAGAGTTTAGAAGAGAGAGAAGAGATAAGAAGAAGAAGAAGAAGAAGAAGAAGAAGAAGAAGAAGAAGAAGAAGAAGGAGGAGGAGGAGGAGGAGGAGGAGGAGGAAGAGGAGGTCGATTACAGCGTCGACAATGACGGCGAACTATAGTAGCGGCAATGTTAGATCTGAGATTTCTCTCAATCTCAGATCTTCTAGACTAGATCTTAGCCTTCTCTTCCATATCTCTCTCACAGATCTCTTAGCCTTCTCTTCCAGATCTTAGTCTTCTAGATCTCAAATCTAAGATCTCCCTCAACTGATCTCTCTCCCTCCAATAGATCTCAGATCTGAGTTTTGATAGATTTCTCTTTTCATTCAAATCTAGCTCTTATTTAATAAACCGCAAACCATTCGACCCGGAGAATGGTTCAACGGTCAAACCGTCTTGGTCAATGGTACGTTGATTAATTCAACGATTTTTGACAAAAGATCGGGTTTGGGGTAAAACGGAACCCGTCACCTAGACGGTTTTAGTCCAAACGGTCTGACCATTCGGATTAATGACGGTTCGAACATTGGTTCAAAAACCATAATAAAAATCCACTTGCATTGGTTATTACTTTTTTTAGTTATTGGTGGCTATAAATTGATTATAAAATAATATATATTTAAAAATAATAAAGTAATAAATATTTATTTATTAGTTTTCAAACTCTCTTCTCTTCTCTTCTTTAACTTAAAATCATCAACTAGTTCGGGTGCTGCTGTAGGAAGAATCCATCGACTGTTTCAGGTAAGAATTTCAATTCTCTGATTCTTTATATCACTCTTTCTCTCTCTCTCTCTCTCTCTTACTCTTTACTTCTCTCATCGAAAAGAAAAGAATCATTTATCTTTGACACAAGGACTGGCTTGGGTTGTAAAGGTGTGCAGCTTCGTTGGCTCAGCTCGGACGCCAAAGGTGTGCAACTTCGTTACCTCAGGTTTGTTTTAATTGCCTTGTCTCTCATCAACTTAATTAGTTCATCAAGTTTCCAATTTCTTTCATGAACCGATTGTTAATTAGGTATATTTATTTTCAAAAGATTAATATTAGATTATTAGAAGTTATTATATGAAAAGGAAAAATTGAAGAGTGTTCGTGGTGTTAGACAGTTTTGTATGCCCTTAGCTTCAATCAGAATGATGTACTTTTATGAGTTTATTGTAAATGAATGAAGGTGCATATTTGATTCATGTTCCCTTGGTATGTTTCTGTGTAATACCCTTAAACTGGACACTTAATGAGACTCGTGTTA